TTTTTTTACTGTTTTAACTGGAAATATATTTTTTAATTAATATTTTAACTGCTTATTGAGAAAATTAATTTAATGAGAAATCTATTTCTAATGAAATTCAAGGGAATAAATCTAAATGAAATACAGCAAAAAATGTGTATAATTTAATAGGCCGTGCAAGGAAGTCATGTGGTGTCCACATCAGATTTTGTTTATTTACAGACGTTTTCGTGAGTATTTGGGCTAACATCCCCTTGGGTTAAAAATATTTAAACACAGTATATCTTTAGAACTTCTAACAGACAATTTCGCGTGCTTGAGATAAAAATGTTTTATTCCTAGAGTGCTGTCACTTCTCGCTTTGAAATTGTTGAGATTTTTAATCAAAAATTCGTTAAATTTTTACAAAATATGAAACAGACAATAAAACAAATTCTAAATTCGGGCTTTCATGTGCCTATGCTCGGGCGGAATATGATGTTATTCAAAATTTCATGACCCTAGATACCGTTGTTTTGTCACTATGCGAGAAACATACATAAATTCATATAGATTTTTCATTATTTAGTTTCTTTAAATATGACACAGGGCGATAACATTTGTTGGCAACAATTAGAAAAGTGATACAGCAGTTTATAGTGATTTGACGCAAAATACCGTTTCAAGGCTAATAGCCCTTCTGGGCTAAAATTAATTTCTGAATCCAAATTCGGGTTTTAGAGGCTCACATGCTCAGGTGGAGGACTATGTATGCTCAAAATCTGACGGCTTTAAGTGCCGCCGTTTTATCTACAGTGCAAGGAACATACATACACACTTATACGTACAGAGTTTTCATTATTTAGCACTAGAAATTAACAGTGTATTAAAAATATACTTCATGTCTTTAATTTAAAACTTCTGAAGAGTTCAATTTTAGAATATATAGAGTTAAATTTTGAGAATATAGCTTTTTTCCTTTTTTTTCGTTTTTCCGTATGAAATTTTACATTAATAAACACATGCAATCGTGATTTAAATGTGCATTTGAACAAGATACAATAATTTACCTAAAGTTTTAAAACATTTAAATTCAATTTTGAATCCTCGAATCAATTTTAGTAACCAAAGATTTTTCTATTAGTTGAATAATAGTCCGATCTTAAAATGAAGTAAATTTGTCTGTTAAACTAGTCAAAGAGTGAATATGTATTTCATTTGTTCCTATTTCGTTAAACATGTTGAGCAAATAAAAGAAATTGTTCATAATAATAGGTAATACAATTTGCACGAAGAGAAAGAGCTAGGTAAGAAAAATTGCTGCCTAAAAATTAAAAAAAATATATAATAATGATAAAAAAATTCTCAGAGCTTTCAGATTTTATATTACGCCCAAAGGGGCGATTTTTTAACGTTTTGTGCGTTACCTTTATTTATCGACTATCATGTTTTTCTCACTTAGACCATAAAATTTAATTCAACAGCAATATCACGAAATACTTTAAAAAGAGCATGTCTATAGAATTTCTGATACACAGTCTCGCGTGCTGGAGATAATTCCCCCCCCCTACAGTGTTGGCATATATGTTCTTAAAATCAATATACATAAATATATATATAGAGATCAACATTTTTCAAGTCAGTATACAATATTGACTTAAAAAATGGAGATTTTGTTTATTATGCTGATGACTTTTTATTTCTACTATATGAAAATTCGCTTGAGAAATTGGAAAAATTATTTAGTGACTTGGTAGAGCTTTTGGAAAATTGGAGCTCGCAAGAAGATATAGAATTTAATTTAGAAAAGACCTGTGCAATGTTTTTCCCGCAAGGGTAATAGAGTTACTCGACCTCCCAGATTGAAATATAATGCTAAACAATTAAAGTTCGTTGAAAATATGAAATGCCTCGGTGTTATTATCGATACGAAATTAACTTTTTTGGATCATTTTAAAGATGTACAAAAAATAACTGTTTGTATTTTGAAATATTATTGCAATACTTTTACTGCGGAAACTCTTGCAAAGAAGAGCTCTACTTTATTCTTTAGTTTTAAAAATGTAGCAATTCCAATTGTTATGTATGGCATTAACGCATGGGGTTACAGGGCGGGAGAACTTGTGAGAATTAGAAAGAAATTAGATACAATACAGAGAGGCTGGATGCTTGCAGCTACGCGTGCTTTCCGAACCGTTTCAACGGAGGCGACTTGTGTGCTTGCCAGTGTGGCCCCCCTCTCATATCAATACGGCTTTTTCTATAACAAATTTTTAATGAAAAACAAATACATTGGAAATATCTAATATAGAATTAAAAAATGATGCCTTTGAAGAATGCCTTAAATTGATTCACCCTGCAGATAAATTTGGACTAAATTTTGATCGATTATTATGTACTGTAAATGAGTATGATATTTATACTGATGGACTCCTAGAAGGAAACGTTGGTTGCGCATTTGTAGTGTTCTACTACGGAACTGAGACACCACAAAAAATTCTTATTAAACTTCGCGAATACCGTGTACCAGACTGAATTATATGCAATACCTGGATCGAAAATAAATTATCTGGTGGCCAATGTGTTCACTTATTTTTTGATGCATAATCGGCCTTTCAATAACTTTCTGCACTTGAGTTTGATAATAAACTTATTGTGAAATATAGAAATCTACGTACAAAATATAATATTAAGATACATTGGATTAAGGCACATGTAGGTTTCCATGGTAATGAGAGGGCTGACGCACTGGCAAAAGAAGCCACATTTGGCAACTGTACAGAAATTAAACTGCAGAGCTCTAGAAGAACAACTATTGGAATTTTATACACTAGTATATATGAAAAATGGAAAAACAATTGAGATTCCTCGGAAAAGAAAAAAATATATGCTTACTATACAGATTTATATAAGAAAAGAAAGTGCTACACAGATATAGATATGAATCAGGTTTTGACGGGACATGGACGTTTTCCCATGTACTAGAATAGATTTGCACTGTAGGAAAACAATCTTTGTCGGCTACGTAGAGTATAAGACAGAGATGGGTAAACTACGGCCCGCTGGAAGGTTCTATCCAGCCCGCGGATAGAATTTTAATTTGCCGGTCCGAGACAAACTAAAAAAAAATATATATATATTTATATATTATACATCCATCTCCTTTTCTACTTTGTTTAAATATTATTTTTTTGTTCCTTTTTTTCAATCTTTTTATTCTCTAGTTTTGTTCTACAAAACATAAATCGACGGGAATAGCAACCAGTTATAGCTTTCAATCAGTAAAATGTTAAAAGCGGAAATTCTTTGTTAGTTATAGCTGTAGAATGGCGCCAACAAGCGTTATCTCTTTCTCGGGGAGCAGACATATGGGAATCTAATATAGGTGAATTACATATGGCAGACTGCGCATTTTAAGCTCCAGCCAGGGGCTTTTTCTTTTAGGGCGAGTTCTAATATTATTGATTGCACATGGATAGATTACGGAAATATGGCATCATTGTGAATAGTGGCGAAATTATTATAGTATAGTGTAACTATGTAGTATAGTGTAACTAGTGCTTGTTTGAGTTATTCGTAAAATATTCCACCCCCCAAATGGCTACTAAAAAACGTAAAGTTGATTCAAAGTGCCGTGCATTTAATGATGAATGGACCTGGAAATATTTTTAACAGTTGTAAAAGATAAAGCAGTGTGTCTCATCTGCTGTAACAGTTTTCAAAGAACATAACATTTTATCGCACTTGTGCATTCAATCTATTACGAACCCGTACCGCTCGCAACAATATTTAAATTGTAATATTCGCATATTGTTTTTAAAATTTTAGAAAAATTTACCTTGGCCCACCAAAAAAATTTTTTTTTCGATTTTTGGCCCACGACCGAAAACGTTTGCCCATCCCTGGTATAAGTGGTGATAATGTCCACTTCGTTGAAACCTGTGGCCTGACTGCTAATATTAGAGATAAAATGAAAATCGAATTTCCAAGAGATCTTAAGGATTATAGTAAAATGCTGCTTTATTCCAGGGAAATAATGAATATTATCAAACGCACAGAGATACTTGGGTAGAGCGGATGTGTAAATGATGTGTATCTGTTACATTTTCTTTGTGCGTCGTTTTATTAGATGGTTAACTGCTTATTCTTTTTTTCCAGTTCGTTTTTGTTTTATCGGGCTGGCCTCTAAAAGCTTTATGGCTGAATGAATTTATCGGCCTGGGGAGTCTTTGTAGTAAAATAGTAACAGTGTTGCCATTGCTCGCTTCGAGATCGTTGAGTTTGTTAATCAAAAAATTCGTTAAAGTTTTATAAAATATGAAACAGACAATAAAAAAATTCCAAATTTGGTCTTCCAGATCCCCATATTAGAGTGGAGGACTACGTTATTCAAAACTTAATGTCTTTGGGTACGTTGTTTTTTCACAGTGCGAGAAACATACATTCATGCAGATTCTTCGTTATATAATTTCTTTAAATATAATGCAGGACTCTAATATTTGGTGGCAACAATTTGAAACGTGAAAAGCCGTTTATAGTGAACCAACGCAAAATGCCAAAACGTTATTAATAGCTCTTCTGGGAAAATTGCTCCTTTGAGCTAAAATTTAAAAGAAACACATCGTAGTTTCTCTGTTGAAGAATTTGTCAAATTTAAATGAAATATTTCACATGTTAAGAAAGTTTAATTACATGTTTAATTTTCTCACTCACACTTTTTTAATTGATAAAAAAATTGCTGTACGTTTGCCTGGAGGCAATAGAAAATTACTCAATTAAACAAAAAAAAGCAAAAAACATATATTCTACGTTGCTCTTTATTCTTCTTGTTTGCTTTATAATTTTGAAGTTTGTTATTTTATGATCACTTGTTAAAAACGTATTCACCAAATGGTTGAGACATATGTTTTCAGCATAATGAGCCTTGAAAGGAATTTGGACATTTTATATGTTAAATGTACCATGTTGATGTTTTCTATTTTTAAAGCAGTAGACAAGGCACAAACTACAAGTTATGTTACCTATAAAAATATATATATTACTTATCATCATTGCATGTCCTCTAACGCTTCAGGCACTGAACGCTTGCCTAATGGGTGCCTGTCACAGTTGCAAAAGTTTCCTCCCTCGGGTGGATCTTTAGTACAAAGGAACTGGCAAATACCACTCCTGAAAGAAGGATTAGAAGGAGCAGCCATCACCGTTTCTGGAGCTGTGCAAATCGTAACCACCACCAGAACCGTCGTCACGAAGAAAAGTATTAGCCGTTGGTTGAAGGGCATGGCATGAACTGAAAAAGAGCAATATAGATTTTAATGAATTCAACTACAATATAACGATCAGTTGCAGCAAACAACAGACAAACAGAGGACCATTCCCCAAATTGTGTTATTGTTAAATTTAAGTTGATGAAGATGGCGTTGCAAGTACGAGCGCAGTTAACAGGTGATTTTCGCGTTTTGGCGACTAGAGTTTTCTTTCGCTGTTATCTTTTTTTTTTTCTTGATAATAAAAACTTTTTCATACAGTCCATTGCTTGTCAGTGTTATTTCGCATCTCATCGTCATTATCCACAAATTGAATCTTTGTCCAGCATCATACATGTTTAACACTATGATGTTGATTAGCTGCAACAACTTTCAGGTCATAGCATTAAAAGCTTCGAAAATATTTTTAGTAAAAAAATACATCTGATTCGAGAGAAGGATTTCGTGATATATTTAAAGAACAATGCAATTAAATTTTTACAATATAAGCGAGGCAGCTCATGCCAACAACATGTTACAGAACAAGCCGATGAAAATTTCAGCTTTAATGATATTTAAATTATCGTTATAGCAGAAACTGAAATAAGAAATTACTAAAACTTTGATAAAGATAAATAAAATTTATGTAGTAAAAAAGCATAACTTAAAAAGGAGAGGAGAAGCATAGAAAACAGAAGTGAAGAATATTTTTACAATGAATTATTGATTTGCATCATTATTAATTATTGAATAAAAAATCAACTTTCAAAGTTGCAGATTAAGTAAGATTATTCAAAACGATCTGTAGAAAATAACCAATTATGAAAAATGCTCATGAAAATTCAGAAATACGCCTCTAATTTTATTTAAAATGTTAAAACAACTAAATAACTAACTTGCATCAGATGCGATTTTCAGAAGAAATTCAGACATTTCTTCCACTTGGATATATTACGCATAACAGTTAGCACATTAGTTCGGCGTACCGAAGATTCCGAATTCAACTACCGGGCGAAAACAGATTTTAAACAGATCGCTTCTGATCTTCGTTTGCGCTGTATACGGCATCCGAACTAAAAATAGCGGATGATATGAATGAATGCTATACACATTTTGAAAAATGCATTATAATGACTATGTGTAGGAGAAAAAAAAAAGAAATGAACAATCTGATTTCGATTGCTAATTCATCAAATATAAACTGGATCATCAGATATATTTTGTGTTTTCGAATGCAAGTTAGGTAAACATATTCAGTCAGATATTCAGTTCAGATGCATCACCAACGAAGGATGTCATTAATGTATCTGTCGTTTTTGCCGTCTTGAGAGTTATTACCTATACTGAATGGTATATTTAAAGAACATAATACTAAAAGCCGTCCAGACGGCAAAGAATGTGAAAATCAGTAGGTGGTAAAGCGCCACCTCTAACAGCCCTATAAGCCGATAATCGGTTGGTGCATGGAGTCTATTAAGTTGCCAATGTCCCTATGCGGTAGATTCTGCTACAAATGGAGCAACTGGTCAGCGAGTTCGGACCTATTTGTACACGGCTAAATTTGCCTGCCCAACATGTCCCAAAGAAAGTTCAATAGCGACAGGTCTGGAGACATGACAGGCTAGTCGAGAACATTAACACGTTGAAAACATTATTGGAAAAGTCATGTTATATGTCGCTGAGGGTTTTCCTGCTAGGTAACAGAACCTGTATGACTTGCTAGCACAAGCAGTATGATCGGTTGCAAATCATATCCCTGTATGTATGTCCCGGAATCCCTGTGAGTTGGCAAATGGCGTTGAATCGATGATAGCCTAACTGTTGATAGGACATGTCAGTTCTTCTAATTGCGCGATCATCTTCGCACATTGGTGGGCCAGGGACATTCCAAACCACTACGTCGGCTGACTGTGCCTTTGCTGAGTCACTAGTTCCAAACAATGGACAAAGACCATATCGCTGCCACCAAAATGCACGCCGATCCGCTTGTTCGACTAACTAGCCTCTTTTAGCCCTCTGATGCGACCTTTCTCAAAGTCTGATAACTGTTCATAACGTCGTCGATTACTTCTTAACGGCATCTTTCGTTACAATGTCGTGTATCTAAGCTGTCAGCATGGTCATAAATGCTCGTCATTCTCCAAAAACCTGCCTTTTTACTTTCTACCAGCTGCGCAATTGGGGCACGAGTTGTATCGCTCTACAGTGCTGATTAGAGCTGCAAGTTTAATCATTCACACAACTCGCCATATCAAATTTGCATATTACGTTTCGTACCTGTAGCTCAATTTTTCTGAATGCATATACTTTTTTGCAACAGAGTGTTAACTTAAAACATGAAATAAATTATTATTAAAAAACATGTCATAGCGCAATGTCATATTCAAGTTGGAAAGGTATTTAATAAAGAAAACCATTGTTTGCGCGGACGCAAACCTCGTTTTAGAGTCCAACGAATTGATCATGCCTACTATAAGTCGTTAAATAACAAGAGAATAATTCTTCAACATATCTCAAGAGAATTTTAGTCATTATTTGAGAAAATTTCTCAGAAACCTATCGCTGCAATAAGAAAAACTCAAGACGTTGAATGGATCTTTACGGAAGACTATACAATTAATAAGATCCCTTAATATTTTTTGAATTAATAATAAAGCATAGCTGTCTAAAATGTCACATTGTTACCCATAACTGTTATTTGAAACTGACAAGCTTTAATGCTAAATAAGTAATCTTTAATTGGGATAAGCTATGACAGTAACAGTAACGTAGCATCTTGCACCAATTTCGTTCCCCAACTTCTCTTTTATTTGTTATTATTTTTTTTTAATATTTGAAATGGAATGCATGATGAGATTATGAAAATTTTATTCCAATCACATCCTGTTTGCATAGTTATTCAAAAATTCAAATCACGAATCGCAGAGTAAACTACTGTTCTGTGACAATCGGTGACAATTCAATGTTATCAAAAGATTCTACATTACAAGTTGAGAGTTTGAACGAGCGCCTGTCAAAGCTGTCAATCTCTGGCTTAACTGTCAATCTCGCAAAGAAGAGATAAGGAAGAGTTGCTCTTGAAAAAGTCCTCCTCACTTCAACACTGTCAAACGTGATTTCCGAACAGGTTATTGAAGATTTTCAGCTGTTTTGTTTGTTGAAGTTAACTGGAGAGATTAGGGAATAATAAAGCGTTTTTTCGATGACGCAAGAATGGATGACGCATGACCTTCAAACGAAACTTCCGTAAAAACAATAGCTTACGAAACTATGGAAATCTACAAGAACTGAAACTGAGAATTGAGTTTCTGTGTTAGAGTATATCATTTTTGAATACCGTTATGAGCGATGAATCCCAGTAGACTCACTAAAAATAAAATAATAAATAAAAAATTAATTTATCGGCTGCGATATAAAAGTAAGAAATACTATATATTACCGTACTTAACTCGCATATTTACCCCCTTAGCTTTTTGACCCAAAGTTCTGAAAATTCTTTGAGTATTCGCGTAATTTTCCCTTTCCTCAAGACGTTCAGAAAGCAAATTACCCTGAATGTTAAAATGGATTCATCAACGTAGTAGTTATTTTTAGCTTACTAATTGATTTTCTCCCGGATTCGGGGTGCATGAGCGTTGATTGAAGAATAACACTATAAAGAACATAAAAAAGACGGCGATACCTAATGCTCTTGATGGTTCTGAGGAACATGGGAAGACGGACTGATTTGTAACAATGACAACGATGACGAAAGTGATGACTTGCAAACTGTAGAAAACCACTAAAGTAGCAATTCCAGAAGCACTAAACAATTTAGGGGGCCTAGAGCATAGCAATGCACAACAATAACGGGGGATGAACAGGAAAGTAAAAATAAAGATATCTTATTAGATATTGTAAATGGAATATAGGCTTCTTTTAAATAATACCGTGAGAATTACAGGTAGATTATTCCACGAATAATTTTCATTTGTTAGTTCGTCTTATAACCACGTCCTTTGGAAATAAAATTATTTGAATAATATTCGCCTCTCAATTTTCATATTATATTCAGCCACAATATATATCGGCTTATTTTTCTAACGAATGTAAGTTATTTCAAATTAAAGATTGAAATAATTTTACGCAGTTTTGTTTAATCTGTCGTGTAGCCCATATGCAGAATTTTATTTATTTGAACGACTTAATTTCATTTGAACAACACATTTAATGGCCAGAGGTTACTTTTAAGCATCTACATTCGTTGTTGGATGATGTCAACCAAAACCTGGATGATACAAAACCAGTTTTCTAAAACGTGATAAACTATCAAAACTGGAAAGAAAAACTAATTAGAAAAGCTTTAAACATGCGGGGGGGGGGAAACTGAAAGGTTCCCGATTTTACATTACTAACAAAGCAGCGTTTTTTTCATTTACATACACGTACACGTTTCAAGAGTAATTGTGCTATTTCTTCCGCACAGTGCTCGCTTTGAAGTTGTTGAGTTTGTTAATCAAAAATTCGTTGAAGTTTTACAAAATCCGAAATACATAATAGAACAAATTCGAAAATTCGGGCTTCCAGGTGTCCATATTCTGCTGGAGGACTACGTTATTCTAAATTTCATGGATCTAGGTACCGTTGTTTTTTTACAATGCCAAAAACATGCATATATTCCTACAAATTCTTTATTATTTAATATCTTTAGATATAATACAAGGCGATAATATTTGGTGGCAACGATTTGAAAAGTGATTCAAACTTTTATAGTGATTCAACGCAAAATCCTGTTTTGATACTAATAACCCTTCTGGGTAAAGCGCCTTTGGGCTAAAAAAGCAGTATATTTTACATAAATATTTATTATTTTGTGAGGAAATTTTTCAAAGACCTAAAGGATTCTAAAATATTATATCTGCAGTTAAGAAAATTTAGAACGCATATTTTTAATTCTATGAGGTTATGTCTTCTGTTAAAGGCAGAAGTTTTTAATGTTTTTTATATGTGTGTGTGTGTGTGAGTAATTTGTAAAGCAATACAAGGTAAAAATTCCTTAAATTAA